CTGGGCAATCTTGCCGAAGTGGCGCCTCAAACTCCCACGAGTTTTCGGAGTTGGGATAACTCCGCCACTTCACTAGATATTGGATTTGACTCTGGTGACGACGTCGTCTCATAGGACGTTCCACGTGATAGTGGACGTCACCGTTCTCATCGAGAAGAAGCGGTGGCGGGCGGTGACGACCGGGTCGACCGCCGTCCGGTGACTCGTAATGCTCTGCGAGCTCTTGAAAAGAAGGTTCTTCTTGAGCACATGAGCGAACTCATAAGCCGCTCACGTATTTCGTTTGATCGAAGCAGTGATTGGAACTCCGCTGGGCTGAAGTAGCATATCGCCGTGCGGACACGTCGTGCGCCGGCTGCCTCACCTGGAAGACTACCGCGCTCTGTCGGAGCAACTCCTAGCCGTGGAGCAGGCAAATGCGTCGCTTCATGCGACGGTGGAGCGCTTGGCGCCATTTGAAATGAAGGTTGTTGCACTCCGTGCTCAGAACCAGTTGCTGGTTCAGCTTTTGTGTGGCCAAGGGCCCGTGGAATCCCCTTCGGCGCCAACGCTTCCGCGTTCACTCGCGCTGGATCCCGGTATGGCTTAAGCAAGCCCACGTAAAACACCGGGTGGGTGCGCATTCGTTTTGTGAGGTTCGGCGTATACGCTAGGCCCCGCTTGGCCACAACTTTAAACGGTCCGATAAACGGTGGACGAAGCTTCGTATTGAAGATAGCAGAGGCTGCATGTGTAGGCAGGTTTTTCAAATTTAATAAAAGCAGGCTCCCGGCCTTAAAGCTTTCTACTTTGCCTCTTCTTTTTTCATCTGCACATTCTTTTGCAGGTCTTGGCTTTCAGCCATCGCATCGCGAACGTGTCGTAGAACACTCAGTCTGGTAGACAGGAAGTCATTGACTTTTTTGCGGATGGTGAGGGGGCTGACATCAGCTAGTCGTTTGGCTATTCCTCCCCCCACCAAGCCCTGAGCCATGGGATGGCGGCGTCAGCGAACGCGAGGGTGAATCAGCCCGTTCACGTAGAACGGCGTGTAGCCGGTGCAAACTCTACGAGTGGTAACATGGCGCTCCAGCGCCTCGGCGTCTCAGCGCAGACGCCGCGAAGAACGTCTTCGATGACACGATCCACCTTTTTGGTTTGACAATCGATCTGCGGATGGTCGGCTGTCGACATATCCAACTTGGTGCCGAGCACCTTGAATATAGTCGACCAAACTTTTCCGTGAAACGGGGGTCTCCATCAGAGACAATCGACTCTGTGAGTCCGTGTTGACGGAAAACACGATCTACAAACAGCGTTGCTGTACCGATTCCGTCGATAGTGTCTGGCACTGCCGCCAAATGAGCTTTCTTGCTCAAACGGTCGACGAATATCACGACACCCGTGTTGCCCGCCGAATTTTTCCGCAGGCCAAACACAAAGTCCAAACTCATGGACTACCAGCACCCAGTGGGTACCGGTAAGCTGGCCAGCGGCGCAGCCGCATTTGGAGAGGGTTGTTCCCGTTGACACTTCTCACACGTGCGCTCATAGGTGCTCGTCTATA